TAAATGGATGGTATTGGAGAAAATAATGCTAAGTGAGGTTAGCAAATCCCCAAAAAACAAATGCCGAATATTTTCTCTGATATAAGGTGACTGAGCCATAATGGGGTAAGGAGGGGGAGCATGGGAGGAATAGACAAACTCTAGATAGTGAAGAGGGATGGGAGGGGAAGGGAGGGAGCGGGGTTAGCAATGATGGTGGAAGTGATAGACATCATTATCCAAAGTACATGTACGAAGATCTGAATTGGTGTGAACATACTTTATATACAATCAGAGATATGAAAAATTGTGCTGTATATGTATAATAAGAATTGTAATGCATTCTGCTGTCATGTATTTAAAAAATAAAATCAATTAAATATTTTTAAAAATTAGCCATTCTCTGTGTTGCCATTCTCTACATATCTATCAATCTTCAGACTTTTATATATATTGGAGTAATTCCATCTGAGAACAAGTTATAGTTCTCTCACCTTAAAAATCTTTCCTTTCACATCCATCTCTAGTTCTGCCCCCTTTCAATTTCTTAATAATCATACTTGCGGGACTGGAGCTGTAGCTCAATGGCAAAGTACTTGCCTCACATGTGTGAGGCACTGGGTTTGATCCTCAGCACCACATAAAAATAAAGATACTGTGTGTTCATCTACAAGTTAAAAAATTTAAAAAAATAATCATACTTGCCTAATGTTACTCATCCCACCTCCTCCTTTCATTCAGTTTTTAGTGTACCCTCCTATCTTCTGCCTCAATGATCTCACCAAAATGGCTCTTTTCAAGGTTGCCAAGGATCTCCAAGTCACTAAATTCATAGTACACTTCTCAATCCTTGTTTGTTTGTTTAATCCAGGAGAAGCATTTGAACATATCAACACTTTCTCCTTAGATCACTTCTTCTTTAGCTTTATGATGCTTCATTATTTTTTTTTTAATTTTTTATTGTTGGTTGTTAAAGAGAGAGAGAGAGAGAATTTTTTAATATTTATTTTTCAGTTCTTGGTGGACACAACATCTTTGTTTGTATGTGGTGCTGAGGATCGAACCCGGGATGCACGCATGCCAGATGAGCGCGCTACCGCTTGAGCCACATCCCCAGCCCAATGCTTCATTCTTTTGTTTTCTTCCTACCTTCTCTGTCATAGTCTCTCTCTATCCAGCCTGGTCTGGATAGTCTTTCCCTATCCAGCAGGCTGGTCTTTATCCAAGCTTTGTTAAATGGTCTTCTTCAAGTCTGAATGGAGTAGCACGTGCCTGCAATCTTGAGAGACTGAAGCAGGAGGATTACAAGTACCTCAGCAATGTACTGAGACCCTGTCTCAATATGAACTGGGAAAAGTGGCAAAGTGCCCCTGGATTCAGGAATCCCCAGTACCAAAAATAAATTTAAAAAGTCATCTTCAGATTTCTTTATAGCCTCTATGACTTTAGTTCTAGCCACCATCATTTCTCACCAGAATTACTATCATAGAATCCTATTGCCCTCCACACTAACTGCCACTGCAATCTTTCCAAATCTTTCTTTCTAAATCTCAACAAATTCCCAATGTTTCATTTCTTTCTTGCTTGGTTTATAAGGGTCTACACTTGCTGCTTCCTGAGATGGAAGGTATATCCTTTTTCTATTGCTGCTGTAGCAAGTTACCATGAATTTCATGGTTTAAACAATACCTACTCATTAGTTCACATACTTGTTGGCCAGAAGTCTACAGTGTAGCTGGGTTCTCTGTTCAGCATATCACAAGGTATTATCTAGACTAAATTTTCTTCTAGAGATTTGGAGGAGGACTGAAGTGTTTGTTCCTTTGCTGGCTGTCAGCTTGGGGCTACTGTCAATGAGAAGCCACTCTCAGGCACTTACCCCACATGCTTCCCATCCTCCAGTTAGCAACTTCCTCCTGCATTTCTCCAAGTGAGCTCTTCTATCTTCAAGCCATTGATAGTGTGATGAATCCTTATTCTACAAATCTCTCTGATTTCTGCTGCTGTGAGCAGCCAGAGAGAAAGTCCTTCAAGAGGACTTAGTGTGATGTGGTTAGGACTAGTTGGACAATTTTCCTAACTTGAGGTCAACTGATTAGTAAAATGAATTACATCTGAAAAATTCCTTTGGCACATAGCATAATCATGGAAGTAGTACCTCATTATATTCAAAGGTCCACACACGTTCAAGAGAAGATTCTACAAGGGTAATCATTTTGCAGGTCATCCCGTGATTCTATTTGTCCCAGGAGAGGAAGCCATGGAAAACATTTTCCTGAGGAATTGCTGCTTGAAAACTGAGATCCCATGGATGAGAAAAGAAGGAAGAAAGAAGTTTCCAGAGAGCATTGCAAAAGGCATATAACTGGGGGATGGATAACAATAAAAGTGTGTGGGGGGGCTAAATGAACACCAGTGTGTCTACAGAGGAAAGAAAAAAAATACAGTGCCTTGAAAGAAGATAGAGAAGTAAGCAGAAGTCAGGCCATGAGGGTTTCACAGATCCTGTTAAAGGGTTTTATCTGTCCCAAAAGGAAAGATCAGAGAGCGGCATAATTAATTGGCATTCTGAACACAGCACTATAGCTATAAGGTAGAAGGTGGATGCAAAGAGGCACCAGAAAAATGCAGTGGCCCACTTAGGAAACTAGGAGAGTGGTGCAAGGTAATGTCTATGGATGTATAAGCAGGCAGAATCAAAGAACACTCAGTAGCTAAAATCAGCAGCACTTCATGATTGATTTAATACAGGAGTGATGTAGTTATGTTCCCCAGGAAGCAAACTCTAAAACAGAGATTCCTGTAAAGGATGTTTACTAAGGAGTGCTCTTGGAGTGCAAGAGAGAAAATTAAAATAGGATTGGGCAAAGGGAGAAGCTGAGCAATAATTCAGTACCAACAAAGGCCTCAGTCAACCCCATGAGGAGCTCTGGGGCTGTGAACACATTTCAGAGTTGTCCTTTATTGGAGTAGGAGGACTGAACCCTTCTATCCCTGCACTGAGCAGTCAATGGAAACAGGAAGCCTCAGAAAGGGTACATGACCTTGGATGAGCTGGCTTTCTTCTGTTCAGACAACTCCTGATAGGAGGTTGACAGTTGAGGGCCATCTTCCAGAAGCACTCTCAGCAGCTGGAGAATAAATCCATCATTTTTGGAGAGGAGTCTAGGTTTTGCATCACAGCCTTCATTATAGGGGTGAAGGAGCATAAAGGAGGAAGGCATTTAGAATAATTCCTAAATTTCTGATTTATGTGTCTTGATGGATGCATTTATGACATGTATTGCAATCACTGGTTTACTTGGAAAAATCTCCATTAGAGCGGGAGCTACTTAGAGACAGAATATATGCAAGACAATGCACAGTGGTCCTATATCTGGCACATGGTTTGTTGGATAAGTGAATGCAATCTAATTCTGTTTCCATTCCTCTCTCCCTACATTTCCTTTGTCCCCATCCAATGTGGGAAAAGTTCAGCAGGTTATCTGTGGCTCCACCTGTGCTGGAGTTGAACAAATAGCAAATCAAGCTCTTCTGGTCCAGAGCTCTCAGAAGAGCAAGGCAGGCAGTGCCAGGAGAAAAGGAAGTGGAGGTAGGTGATGACCCCCCACACACACACACCCCAGATTTAAGCCCTCCTCCAATTCCTCAGCCCCTATAAACACGGACAGGACTAGGTCCTCTCCAAAAGATTAATTAGATACATACTCTAAATTCCCCATGAACCCAGACCCCATCCCCACTCTAACCTTCTCGTCTAATGAAGCCCCCATCTCTTGCAGCCAATTCTGGGGGCCAGAAAATAGAATTTCCAGTCATACCAGAATTTTTTGGAATGAAAAACAATGGATAGGGAACGGGGCTCATACAGTAGAGGAGGCAAATCCTGCCCAAAGAAGCTGAACCCACTTCAGTCTTGCAGGGGCACCCTTCAGCTTCCTGCTCTACATCCAGTGGCCCGGCCACCTTTGGCCCCCGCTCGTGGGAACCTGACACTCTACACAGGCGGCTCCACCTGCGCTGAGAGCAAACAGGGAGCGTCAGCGTGTCGGTTGGGGATGGACGCTGCCTGGAGACCAAAGAGACAGCCAGGCCTCCTCTCTTTTGCCTGGGTCCAGGGTGGGTGGTTAAAACACTACCCAATCCTATATATCCTAGGCATTTTTTCACCTCCATCTACCGCCGACCTCCGCACCCTAGTAAGACTCTTTCTTTGGGCGGCCCTTTCCCCTGCCAGGACTTCCCGGTGGAGAACGCCCTCCCCCATGCCTCCCAGTTTCTGAGGGTTCCTTGGAACCCTTGAGTAAAAAAGCCTGGTGTTGGATATCAGATAGAGATGGGGTGGTTCCATAAAGCACTTGCAGAAGCTACCCCAGCCCCAACTCACAGTTGGGAGCTGCAAGGAACTAAGAAACTACCTTAAGTGTAGTGTGACGGTCACTGCAGCCACTGCGGCACAGTACCATAAACGCCGTGCCAAGCAAGCTAAGGCACCTGCGCTGCAGTGGGTGACCCCTGAATTCAAACCCACCTTTCCATCGCCACCTCCATGTCCCCTGACCCACCAGAGAAAGATGCTGGCCCGGCAAAAACTGCACACTGCCCCCTCTCGCCCTCCCTCTCCCGCAATCTCCCTCCGCCCCGCCAACACTAGCGCGCGCCAGCACACACACACACACACACACACACACACACGCATCACACACGAATTCCCCAGAATTCATGGGGGCGTTGGTAAAGGGAGGTGGGCAGGAAAGACATCTCTAAGAGAAGACCAGAGATCTAGGGAGGGGGCGAGCCTGGAGGACAGTCACGCTGGAGGACGCGTAACTCCAGAGCGAGCGAGGGAGGAAGGCGGAGAGTCACCTGGTGGGAGAGGCAGACCGGAGCCTGGGAGGCACCAGAGCCTAGGCGGGGCGATCCCAGGAACTGAGGGCCAGGGGCCAGGGCTGAGGGCGGAGACCAGGCGGGGCAGGGGGTGGGGTAGGCGGGAGTCTGAGCCAGAATCTCGGCATGAGCAGGTGGAGCCTTGGCGGGAACCCGCCTGGCGGAGCAGAGTGAGGCAGAGGGCTCAGCTGGGGCCATGGAGCTGCTTAAGCTAAACCGGAGCGTGCAGGGACCCGGACCCGGGCCGGGGGCTTCACTGTGCCGCCCAGGTGGGCCCCTCCTCAACAGCAGCAGTGCGGGCAACCTCAGCTGCGAGCCCCCTCGCATCCGCGGAGCCGGGACAAGAGGTGGGTGCCTCCCTAAGCCCCCACCACATGCTCCTTTTCACTGCACCCCGTAACACTAATAGAGCCTCCCCCGCGACTTCTACACTGCAGCGACAACCCCCCCCCCCGCCTCGTCCCCCTCATAGAACTAGCTCAGCCCCCAGAGAGCTCCCCCTCACACATTTGGTCCCTACAGCTCTTAAAACCACATCACAGCTTCACATCACCTGGTCAGAACCCTTCACATTCTGGCCCCTGGTCACACCAGAGCTCTTGGTAACCCCCAAACAACAGCACCACACAGCACACATAGTTAAGGGACAAGAACCTCCCCTTGCCAGCCCTTCTAGATCTTTTTCTATCCCCCTTTTACATCCAGCTCACAGAACCACAATAGGAAAGGGCAGGAAGAAAGGAAGGCAAAAAGAAGGAGCTGGTTGAGGGAGGGAGCACGGTGGGAGGTCTGAATGGGAAGTTAGTTGTAATCTGCTGTGTATCCCACCCCAACACCAGCCTTCCCAAATAAGATTTTCAAGTCTGAATTAGACTGGACACTGGGGGATGCCACCTTAGAGCTGCCTGACTGCATTATTTTGCTCATCCTCAAACCCCTCTGCCTCCCAAGTTGGAGTTCTCAAGGCTCTGTGCTTCTCCCAGCTCTGTGCTTGCTTGCCCTCTCCCTTCCTCCCTCCTCTCATAATGTCTCCCAGCCACTTCCAAATCCTCTCTCCACTCTGCCCTTCTTTAAGTCTCACCCTTCTAGACAGGCTGCCCCTTTCATCACCCCTCCCTTTGTGTTACTATCACCTCTTCCCATCCATCCATCTTTAAACTGCTTCCAAACACCCAGTCATCAGAGTGACTTTTACTCCTCCTGTCAGCTAGCATCTCATTGTCTTGATGAACATCTTAAAATACATTTTCTTCCCTTTCTGAACCCTTCCTGTCCTGACTGTTCTCTGAACACCTTCTATCCTAGTCCCTAGGTTAGGTGCTGTGGACACAGGGATGAACTAGACCCAGTGTACACATTCATCAGTCCATAGTCAAGTGCAGAGAAAGACCAATGGAAAAATCACAGTCAGTAAGGAACAAAAGGGCTGGACTAGGGGACCCAAAGGAGATAGGTTTGAGAACTTCACAGAGGATGATCCCTGGGAGCTGGCATCTTGAAATTAGAGTTCAGTAAAAAGAAAATGAATGGGATTCTTTAAAAAAGGGAGCAATGATAAAGCAGAATAAAGTTTTTTCTAAAATCAAGAAGGGAAATAAATTGTAACCCAAGTATTATTTATCACACAAAATAATTCATGCCTTTTTTCCCCACTGGTTACACACTGTCACTTAGATTCTTTCATTCAGCAAATATTTATTGAACCAGAGATTGTGCTAGGCAGCAGGGATATGAGTTGAACAAAACTGGCATAATTCCTACTTCATGGAGCTCAGAATTTTGTGGTGAAGAGAGATAAGTAAATAGAGAATGGCAACCTCAAGTGGAAGAGACAAGGAATACAATGGGGACACACAGGAGGAGCCACTCTGGCCTAGCCTAACCATGGGATTGAAGTTGGCTTCCTGAGGAGGTGCTATGTAAAAATGAAAATGAAAAAGATGAGAGCAAGCCAGCTAAGAAGAGGCAGAAGATGCAAAAAGCATCTCAAGTAGCGGGGTAGGATGTGTTAAAAAGCCCAAAGTTTAAAACCGTGGCACTTCTGTTCAATGTCATATAGTTTCTAAGTGGCTGGATCATGTATCATTAAAGATAAATAATAAACACTCAGGCTGGGGACCAGCCTAGAGAAATTACAGACAGCCTTAGGGGCCTGGCTAAAAAGTGTGGATTTTTATCCTGAGGACATTGGGAGCTACTTAAAGATTCATCAGTAGTGCCAGAATTAGTTGCATAGTGTAAAGAATGGACTGGAGGATGAGGTAAAATGCAAAGGAATACTCTCGAAAGATATTATATTACACATGTCTGTGTGAAAGATGATGCTAGATTAGACTGAGGTCTTGACGGTGGGCATAGAGAGTAGTAGATAGATTTGAGAGTTCCTTCTGGAATGGAATCAACTGAGTAGAAGTGGAGAAGGTAGAAGGAGTCAAGGGATGACATCCAGTTTTCTGGCTTGGACTGTTGAGTCAATGTTGGTACTATGTAATGAGAAAGATATATATCAAAGGAGCAGGTTTGGAATAGGTTATATTATAAACTCAATTTGAAACCCACTAAGTTGCAATGCTGGTGGTACATCCAAGTGGGGTTACCAAATCAACTGTTGAATCCAGGGCTCTGGAACTTACCAACAGAAGATCAATATTTTAAAGCCAGACAGCTGGACTGGTCTTGCACAAGTATAATCCTATAATCTCAGCTACTCAGGAGGCTGAAGCAGGAGGATGATGTGTTTGAAGCCAACCCCAGCAACTAGCAAAACCCTACTTCAAGGTAAAAATGGGCTGGAGATGTAGCTCAGTAGTCAGGCACCCCTGGGTTCAATTCTTAGTAATAAATAAATAAATGTCAGAAAAATGAAAGTCCATGAAGGAGATTCAGACAGAACTGCCATAGAGAGGAGCTATGTCCTTCTAGAAAGCAAGCAAAAAAAAAAAGACAGTTTTAAGCAGGGTGTGATAAGTGAGGCCCAGTGCAGCTAATACAAGTCAGATGAGAACAAAACAGTTAGAAGAGCATCCTTTGGATTCAGTAACAAGAAATCCTTAGGAAGACTTGTAGGTATTAAGGTCTGACTACGTTAAGTTTAAGATTGGGCCAGTGGGAATGGGGTTGGGAAAAATGAAAAAGGTATTTGACAAAAACTTCCAAGAACTTCACGGGAGGGGGAGAAAGAGAAATAATAGGGTAGTACCAGAAATAGGACTGGGTTAAGGAAGAATTATTTGTTAGTAGGTTGGTTTGTTTTGGTATATGCCTGTGTGTATGTATAGTAGTAGTATTAGTAGTGGTAGAAATAAGGGCATTTAAAACAATTTATATTTGAGGCAGGATTTTTCTATGTTGCCCAGGCTGGTCTCAAATGATCTGCCCACCTAACTAGCCTCTCACATTGCTAGGACTACAGGTGTATGTCACTTATAGGATATTTAAGATTTTTTGATGGAAGAAGGCCAAGAAAGAATATTGAAGGTTCTGATAAGAAAGAAGAAAGTCTATAGAGCAAGGATCCCTGAAAAATCAAGATATAAAGTGATTCAGAGCACAGAGGCAATAATAGACCTCACTTAAACAGATATTGTTGCTCACACACATTGGAATGTTACCCAGGTAGTCAGATATTACCCACACAGATCCAGATGTTATCCAGGCTCACTCCTATGTTACCAATGGAAATTTGCAAATTTTGTTCTGTTTTTTTCTTTTTCTTTCTTTCTTTCTTTTTTTTTTTTTTTTTTTGGTATCAGGGATTGAACTCAGGGCGCTTAACCACTGAGTAACATCTCTGGCCCTTTTTCATGTTTTATTTAGAGACATGGTCTCCCTAAGTTGCCCATGGCCTCACTAACTGAGTTGCTGAGGCTGGATTTGAACTTGTGATCCTCCTGCTTCAGCCTCCTGAGCCACTGGGATTATAGAGATGCACCACCATGCCTGGCACCCACTTTATTCTTATACAAACTTGCAGAATTGCGTATCACTTATGTCCACTCAGGTACTACCCACAGACGGATGTTACCCACATTCACTGTTTCCCACAGTCACTTAGATGTTACCCATCCACCAAACTCTACTCACTTTCATTTTATTATTATCCACACACAATTACATATTGCCTATGCTTGTTTTAAGTAACCCTTCTCCAGATATTACCCATAAAGTTACAGTTATTACTCTTATATGCTCAGATATTATCAGAAAAATAAACTAAATATTACCTGTATTTACTCATGAGCTCAATAATTTCACTCAAATAAGATTAATAGCTGGGCATGGTGTCACTTGCCTGTAATTCCAGCAAGTCAGGAGACTAAGTCCTCAGTTTGAGGTCCCCTGGACAACTTAGGGGACCCAGTCTCAAAATACAATTTTTAAAAGAGGTTTGGTATGTAACTCAGTGGTAGAGCTTGCCTAGCATATGCAAGATCTAGGACCTATCCCCAGTCTCTCTCTCTCTCTCTCTCTCTCTCTCTCTCTCTCTCTCTCACACACACACACACACACACACACACACACACACACAAATACTTAATTGAGTTTAATTTCTCATGTTAACGTGTTAACATTTCCCACATGTTTGGATATTACTTTTTAATCTCTCATCATCATCACTTGGCTATTCCTCCATTAACATACTTATCTATGAATGTAACCTATGCTTCTTGAAGGTGTTATCTACAAAATACAATGTTGTTTACAGAGACTTGGTTATTACCCTTGTTTGTTCAAATATCACAACACTTAATTAGTTATTCCCTGAATTTAAATTAACCCATGCTCAATATGATATTGCCTTACAGATATGCAAATGTTACCTTTCCTCAAATATCACCCAGGGAATTAAGGTTTACTTTCACCCTCCCACATGTTATCTCAAAGACTAAAGTCTTACTCAGTGCTTACTCTATTACCTACATATCCTTGCAAGTATATTCTGCTCCATGGTTCGTATCCACTGATGTCTCCCATTAACCCAACTAATATCCATCGTCATTCAGATGCTTTTCATGCCTACCACAGAGACACTGATATTACACTGATGTCCATGTGCATAGATGATCAGTCCTTCCAGGATAGAGGCATCAGTAGCTTTAGTGTTCTGTGGAGTACTTTCTTAGAAAATCCTGGTTTTTATTTTATGTTACATTGTCTGGAATTTTGTGCTCAGACTTCTCTGCCAACGTCTGGACAAAACAAATGCAAATCTTCCAGACCCCAGAAGAACTGAACTGCCCCAGTCTTCTGAGTGCACTGGTCTGGTTTCTACTTTCCTCTCATTACCAAGAAGCTTATGCCTAAGGATAAACTATGAAGGCATTCATATCTGTTCCCCAGGAGCTGCTACCACCCTTCCTTTCACCCCAAGTTAGCTCTGGGTTCACTGTGGCCACTCATCTACTATGACATGTGCGCACACACACACACACACACACACACACCTTAATATTTTAGTTTTGTGTATGACTCTTAAAATTAATAGACTATTTTTAGTTTGGAGTTCACAGAAAAATTGAGCAGAAAATAGAAACTTCCTATATACTCTTCCTGCTACTCCCACATACAACAGTCATCGAGTTTATATTATTAACATCTTACGTTAGAGTGGCACATTCATCACAACTGATCAGCCAATACCGATACATACAACTAAGCACTGTATTTCACATTAGACTTCATTTTTGTGTTATACAGTTCTATGTGTTTTAAGAAATGTATAATGATGCATATCTACTGTTATAATATCATACAGAATACTTTCACTGCCTACAAAATCTCTTGTGTTTCACCTAGTCATCCCTCACTTTCCAAACCCTGTCTCTAAGATTACTTTTAATTAGAATTTTTCATGTCCACTATTTGTTCAACAGCAAAGATCTAGAAATACAGCAATGGCTTGGAATAAGATAACAGCTAGATGGGGCTGGGGATGTGGCTCAAGTGGTAGCGCGCTCGCCTGGCATGCGTGCGGCCCGGGTTCGATCCTCAGCACCACATACAAACAAAGATGTTGTGTCCGCCGAGAACTAAAAATAAATATTAAAAAAAAAAAAAAAAAAAAAAGATAACAGCTAGAAATGCCCAGTAAAATAGCAAAGTGTTGTACAATTTCTGGCCGTTTTTTACTGGGACTTTGGCTTCTAGCTTTCAGGAATCCTCGGACAGATTAGGTTCATAAGGTGAAGCTTTCTGGTCTACTATAATTAGCCAAGCTCAAGGACATAGACATGGGGCACATCAGCTGGATTAAAGAATGAGAAATATGCTTTTCACATTTCAGAGTGCTCTACCAACTTGAGATGTAATAATTGCATTGAGAATTAGTTGAAGAGAGATCTAGAGGAGGATGTAAAGAGGTGATGGAACTAGACAGATTAAGGAGGTAGGCAGGCTAGAGATGGAGAGTCAGTGGACTTGGAAGAGACACAGAGAGTAAAAGAGAGACCACTAGCTCTTTTATGTTTTCTGGGTCCAAGAACTTCTTTGACAAAATCCCCTTTCCAACGGTTCATTGTTTCCTCCTATATAAGTATGCACATGCACGCGCACACACACCCACACACAATTTGTCCATAATCCTTCCTTAGAGGAAAAGTAATGAATCCAAAATCACAGCCTGTCATTGACCCCAAACACCCTCCATCATGTGTCTTCATGTCAAAGGTAGAGAAGGGAGGGCATACTGGAGCACCTAACAGAAGTGAAGGATGGATAAAGAGGAGGAAGACAGGTGCTTTTTTGTCCTGAGAGACAGGTTCATTAACAAGCATGTATTGACTGCCTTCTACATGCCAAGCATTTTGCTGACTGCAAGCAATATCCTAGAAAAAGAGATGAACATTGTCCCTGCCCTCAAGAAGTCCATAGTCAAGTGAGGAAGACAGAAAAGTAAATATTGTAATAGAGTAAGAAATGTCATGATAGAATATAGAGAAAGGGAGAAAGAAGCATTTGAATTGATATTTGGGAGAAGAAGGAGGCAGTATTATGAATGACAGAGCAGTGAAGGAGCCAGAGGAAGACAAGCATTTTAGGGATCCAGAGACGTAGCCTCTATTCTGATTCAGCTCCTTACAACTATGTGTTCCTGAGCAAGTAATGTGACTGCTGAGTTCAGTTTGGAGATTTCTTAAAAATAACACTTACATGATGCCTACAACAACTTCTGAATTGGTTGATGATATTTATAAGAAAATGATTCCATTGGGAGCTCAGAAAAGAGACAGCCAATGTATGTGGCTGGAGAAGAGAGGGCTATCCCCTCTGTAGCTGGGAAGGTCTGTCCCCTGACATCTCTCCCTTCAAGCTCCGGTCTCCCTCATGCTGAGGCCATAGGGATAGGTGATTCCATCTACTTCAGTTCAAATTCAGTTTTGTGTAGGTCTGCATGGCTGTGATATGGAGATCCAAAGATGAATCCACCTCCCAAAAGGCAATGACACAAATGCATAGTGCCATTCTCCTGTCTCCTCTGAGTCACCCAGCAATGTGAGGGATATCTCCTGTGAGCTCCCTTAGCACTTTGTTCGTCCTTCAGCCTCACTCTTCATCATACTACATGGCAATTATCTGTTTAAGTATTTGAGTTTCTGTCTCCACTGTGAACTTTCAGAGGGCAGGGAGTTTGCCATATTCTTCCCTTTGTCCCCAGTACCTGGCACAAAGGAAATCCTCTGCAAATGCTTATTGAGTGAGAACGAATGTATGGAGATGACTGAAATATAAGGCAGAAAGTAGAAAGGGCTCCAATAGATGCATAAAGAGCATGCCTGGGTCAGAAGAAGGGGAGATTAGTACCTGTCCAGAAGGGCCTTATAGAGGAAGTGGCAGTCAATCTGAGACTTGACATGGGGTGAGTAGGCATTAACCAGATACAGAAAATAAGTTTGTGATAGGGGCAGCAGTAGGGGGTTGGTGAAAGACTGAGAAGCCAACTTGAGCAGGGAAGGAGTCACGAGTGCATAAGATGCATTCAAGAAACTGAGTCATCCAGTTTTGCTTCAGTGGGTACAGTGCAAGGAGGAGGTGGGAAGTGGGAGGTTCAGTTTGGAGCATCCTGATGACATGCTAAAGGGTGGCAGACAGTACAGAGTAATGAAGGATCTTTTGTTTTGGAAGGGCTGTTTGTTTTGGAGAATAAGGACTTGATCTGATCTGGCTCAAAAGATAATGGGTGGTCAACAATGTCAAATAATACAGATAGGTCAAATAGTACAGATTAAGAAGGAACCTTTAGATTTGGTAGTTAAAAATATTAGAGATCTTGAGAAGAAGTGATGGGGGACAGAGCCTTGTATAGCAATGGATTGGGTGACTGGGAAGACACAATAAAATCCTTTCAAGAAGTTTGCCTGCAAAAGAAGGGAAGCATTTGGAAACAACCCTTGAGAAGATACAGACTTTCTTAAGGAAGAGTAGAGTTAGGCCAACTTAACTAAGCCTTAAGGGGTTAGAAAGGTAAAGGATTTAAGTTCACCTCTTACTAAGGAGGTGGGGAGAGCATGTTCTTGGGATGTAGGGATCTGGCTGGGTGGTGAGGTTGGGGATAAGTTGGGTTGGGGGCTCTAGCTGAGTGGAGCCAGAACCCCTGACGCTATCTCTCCCTTTTCTGCCCAGAACTGGAGCTGGCCATTAGAGTCACCCTTTATGCAGTGATCTTTCTGATGAGTGTTGGAGGAAATGTGCTCATCATTGTGGTCCTGGGATTGAGCCGCCGCCTGAGAACTGTCACCAATGCCTTCTTGCTCTCACTAGCAGTCAGCGACCTCCTGCTAGCTGTGGCTTGCATGCCCTTCACACTCCTGCCCAATCTTATGGGCACATTCATTTTTGGCACAGTAATCTGCAAGGCGGTTTCATACCTCATGGGTGAGTGAGACAACTACCCTAACCCTTGATCCTCTCCTTGACAAAGGTAGGGGTCTTCTCTAATTGGGGGAGAGGGTGAGGAAATAACACTGGTGAGTGTGTGGTGCAAATTTCCGAGGCCATTCCTTCTTTTTCCCTTGCTTAGGAGTGTCTGTGAGTGTGTCCACGCTAAGCCTTGTGGCCATCGCCCTGGAGCGGTACAGCGCCATCTGCCGACCACTCCAGGCACGTGTGTGGCAAACACGCTCCCATGCAGTTCGTGTGATCTTAGCCACGTGGCTGCTGTCCGGCCTGCTCATGGTACCCTACCCTGTGTACACTGCTGTGCAGCCAGTTGGACCTCGCGTGCTACAATGTGTGCATCGCTGGCCCAGTGCACGGGTGCGCCAGACCTGGTGAGGGTGCCCAAACACTTTCTTAGAATACCTTCATCAGATGCTTATGACCATTCTCCATAACAGTCCTCCAGTTGCTTCAAGAATCGTGCCAATTCCCATTCTGCACCTACCACCCTGGAATTCTAATTTTGGGCCCCTCCCCAGTTATCTTGCCCTTCTCAGCAGCATCCCCAAACCCTACTCCTTCATCAGCTACCTGGCCACAGCCCTAGAGATACCAACCTTGGCTCTTCTGTGATAACAACTGATAGAAACCCATATAATTGGACTGTGTTCTGTTTCTAGGTCGGTGCTGCTGCTCCTGCTCTTGTTCTTCGTCCCAGGTGTGGTTATGGCAGTGGCCTATGGGCTTATCTCCCGCGAGCTTTACTTAGGACTTCGCTTTGATGGAGACAGTGACAATGAGAGCCAAAACCGTGTCCGAAGCCAAGGAGGGCTGCCCGGTGGGGCTGGACCTGGTGAGCAAGATCCTAGAGGGGCGGGACTTTGGAAAGGGTGGGGCCTATAGTAGGTGGGGCTATAAGGTGCCAGGTTAAATGGAGGGCCTGGGCAAGTGGAGATTGGGTTGGAGGTTAGTATGACTCTGCCTTACACTCTGACAGTTTACCCTCTGTGTCCAGGTCCTGTCCACCAGAATGGGCGTTGCCGAAATGAGTCTGGCTTGACTGGTGAAGACAGCGATGGTTGCTACGTGCAACTTCCACGTTCCCGTCCCGCACTAGAGCTGACCACACTGACCGCGCCTACTGCTGGGTCAGGACCTGGCCCCCGGCCCACCCAGGCCAAGCTGCTGGCCAAGAAGCGCGTGGTGCGAATGTTGCTAGTGATCGTTGTGCTTTTTTTTCTGTGTTGGTTGCCTGTGTACAGCGCCAACACATGGCGTGCCTTTGATGGCCCAGGTGCACACCGGGCACTCTCTGGGGCCCCCATCTCTTTCATCCACTTACTAAGCTATGCTTCAGCCTGTGTCAACCCCCTAGTCTACTGCTTCATGCACCGTCGCTTTCGCCAGGCCTGCTTGGACACATGTGCCCGCTGTTGCCCAAGGCCTCCTCGAGCTCGCCCCAAGCCTCTTCCAGACGAAGACCCTCCTACCCCTTCCATAGCTTCCCTGTCCAGGCTGAGCTACACCACCATCAGCACCCTGGGGCCTGGCTGAGGGGTGGCAGTAGTGTGGGCTGAGGCAGAACAAACAAGCCCTTAAGCACAAGATCCCATCCACATGCACAATAAATACAAACCAAAACTGACACCCAACAGCATGGACTAGCCCCTATACACAGGAAAAGGTAAAGGAAGCAGGAAACAAGCTTATACAGAAAAGGAGGCATACTTCTGTTATAGATGGAGCCTATCCCCAGAGATCTGGCACTGACCATGGACAGCATCCCTAGCAGGGAAATATCCCTAGTCAGTGGGAACTTTGACAAGATCTGACCTGCCCTTTGCACACACATACATTAACAGCTCTGATTCTTTAGGGGCTATGGAGCCTGGCACAGGAGTGACTCTGTATGTTCTAGGCTGTCCCCAGTTTGACCTCACAAACCTTTCCTCAACTAGCACTGAAAATACCAACAGGCCTAATCTCACATCTCCCTGATCAATAGGCTGTTTAGCACTGAAAACTACTTCATCTCTTTCCAGTTAAGAACTGTGGACCTGCCTTCTCCTCCTTCACCAGACTTCTTTTTAAAAAATAATAATAAACTTGGCTTCCTCCTAGACTTCCTTTCTGGACTTTTTCAGAGGCAGGTGAGGAGGTGTGGGATTTTGTGAAGTCCTCCCTGTCAAATCCCTTCCATAGCTTCCCAGTCCTTTGCACCCCCCTGTGCCCAAAAGTCCTTGATTTGAGGCTAGATGGGACAGGGTTTACTCTCTTTGAGTGTCACAGTAGCTGGGAGTAGATGTTGGAGGCAGGATATCCATGACGTGTCATGATTCCATTGTTAAGGTACTATAAGCATGGATGCTTATTAAAATTCTGATGAAAAGATAAAAGAGGAAGGATTGCATAATAAGACTCAGCATATTCAAGGAGTGTCTGAAACACCAGGGATCAGACCATGACAGGTGTATAGAAGTTAAGAGTAGGGCCTTTTTTTATGGTACATTTTCTATCCTCCATCATCAGAGCCTGGCCAAAATCCACCTAATGAAAGAACCCTGACTGGCTATAACAAAGAGGCCTAAGGGCAGAGGCTTGGCTGGGTTGGGGGCTGAGGGGACTGTACCCGAATAGGAGTCTGAGAACCCAGACTCTGGTGTGACTATAAAACTTATTGAGCCCCAGAGAGAGGCAGAGACCAGCGACATCACCTCTATACACACACAGGAACAGAAGACTTCACCAAGGGACATACCTGGATAATCAAGGGGTAGTGTTATGAGAGGAGTTCCAGTAGTAAAAGGGTGTTGTGGTTTTGGATATGTGGTATCCCCTAAAAGCTCATGTGTGAGACAAAGCAAAAACATTCAGAGGTGAATGATTGGATTATGAGAGTCGCAACCTAATCAGTGAATTATTCCACTGATGGATTAACTGGGTGGTAACTATAGGGAGATAGAATCTGACTGGAGGAGGTAGGTCACGGGAAGTGTGCCTTTGGGACTTATATTTTGTCCCTGGTGTGCTGAGATCACTTTCACTGCTTCCTTGTTGACATGTGCTGAGCTGCTTTCCTCCACCACGCTCTTCTGCCACGATATTCTGCCTCATCTCAGTCCCAGAGCTATTGAGTCATCCGTCTGTGGACTGAGACAACAAGCTGAAAATAAACTTTTCTTCCACTACATTGTTCTTGTCAGATCTTTTAATCATAGCAATTTAAAAAAAAAAACTGACTAAAACAGAGGAAACAGACCTAGAGGAAAGAAAGCGGCCCAAGACCATACAATAAATTAGAGCAAGATAGCAATGATGATAGTGACACTGAGCTGGAGATGGGGAAAGAGCCACACCCATGAGGGACACATCCATGCTTTGTAGGAGGTAAAGTATACACAATTTGGGTTCTTTTTTTTAAAAAAAAAAAAAAGGAAAAAGAAAAATAACAGATACCAAATTGCTAAGACCCTGCCCAGGGCCTGTGTAAGTGAGGAACCTGAAACCTAAACCTTTGTAGCCAATATACCTCCCAAGTCCACCCAGTAACTACTCTGGAGAGGAGCTGGATGGAGAGGACAGTGAAAAAGGAGAGTGGGTCTTCTGTTTACCAGGGCTGGGATTGCTCCCATCCATCCTTCCACAGGGCTCTGGGCTGCAAGAGGCAGGAGGAAGGGAAAAAGGGAGGGAGAAGGCGTTGCAAGCTGTCAACCTAAGACAGTGCTGGTTAAAAATAGAAACCCAGCTGGTCTGAGGAGCTGAAGGGAGATACTGAGCCGTAGTCTCTCTTGCCAACTTTTCTCTGCAGCTTGCCTCTAGTTTCCCCAGCATACCTGACTCTTCCTTATAAAGGGATATTGACAGCTACCCCGATGTTAGCCCCTTCCTCTGGACTTTGTTAACTAGGACTTTTGGTGACCACCAGAGGCAGCGGGAGCTGTGTGGGGAAGTGCTGGGCCCAGCCTGTTTAAGGTGGAACGTGGTTCAGGCCTGGCCTAGAACCCAGCACACAGGCATAGTCTGACAAAGTCAGCCCTTTGGTCTGTGGATAACATATCCATCAGCCTGCTCCATGCAATGTTCAGTTACCAGATGTGGAATCTTGGGCTTCTCCCCCATCTAATTTTCCATTTCTTGAAGCCTGATAAAGTATATCAGGTCTAGATTTCATGCCACTGTCCCCATGAACTCCTGCCCAGTCACTCTAGAAAAGCATATATGTTTTTACAGTACTTGCTGTTTTCCCTCTTTTATTGTAGTTATTCATGTCTCTGTCTGATTTCCCCTATTAGGCTGGGAACAGGATAATGTAGTGGGAAGATGACTGAGCCAGGTGATGGAGGGGGAGGTGGTGAAATCTAATGCTATGGTACTATGTGACAGGCACTTTATAGACACTAATTCATTTCACTCTTAGAACACACCTACAGAACATTACTCCTCTTTTGAGAGGTGAAAAAAGTGAAGCTGAAAAGGCTTAAGGGAGTTATATGAGGTCCTGTAGCCAGAATAGAGCCAAGAACTGAGCTTGGGTATCTGAATCCAAAAACTTTTTCCATTATATTGTGTTGCTTTCTTTCAATCCTGGAAGACCTAGATTCCAGTCCCTACCTACCTTTTAAAAGTTGTATGAATTAGTGCATTAGTTATCTCAGTGACTTTTAATAGGAGCTATAAGATAGGAATAGTGACATTAACTTCACACTGCCATTTTGGAAATTCTAACAATGTTCACAAGGTGTTTATCACTGCACTAGGCACATAGCAAAAGAAAAGTTGACTTGAAGTTGCTTCAAGACCCAGAAGAAGAAACAATATAAAAAAATAAAGCCCTCAGCAAATAGTTAGAACTATAGCTTGAGTCTTGAATTCCCCCAAAATGCCCATTTGTTGAAGTCTAAATTCCCAGCTCGGTGAAATAGAGAGGAGGCGGAAACTGTAAGTGGTGGGGATTAGGAGGACTTTGGGTCCGTGGATCTTCAGGGCATTCAAAGGCATGTCATTGAAGGGGACATTGGGATAACTGGCCCCTGCTTTTCTCTCTTTTCACTTCCCAATCATCATGAACTGAGGAGCTTTGCCATGCCACACCTCTTCACCATGATGTGCTGCCTTTCCACAAGCCAAAAGCAATGGAGTCATTTGATCATGAACCTCTAAAATTCATGAAAATTTTTTTAATTAATCAATTTATTTATTTTACAGTAGAATGCATTTTGACATATTGTATACAAATGGATCACAACTTCTCATTCCTCTGGCTGTATATGTTGCAGAGTCACTCTAGTAGTGTAATCCTACATGTTTATAGGGTAATAATGTCTGTCTCATTCTACCATCCTTCCCATCCCCACAATCCCATCCCTCCTCTCACTCCCCTCTACACAAACCAAAGTTCCTATGTTCTTCCCTATCTCCCCAACCAACTATGCATCAGCATCTGCTTTGCGGAGAAAACATTCAGCTTTTGGTTTTGGGGGATTGGCTTATTTCAATTAGCATAATATTCTCCAGTTCCATCCATTTACCTGCAAATGCCATAGTTTAATTCTTCTTTTTTTAAGTCTTTTTTTTTTTAAAGAGAGAGAGAGAGGAGAGAGAGAATTTTAATATTTATTTTTTAGTTTTGGCGGACACAACATCTTTGTTTTTGTATGTGGTGCTGAGGATCGAACCCGGGCCACACGCATGCCAGGCGAGCGCGCTACCACTTGAGCCACATCCCCAACCCAATTTAATTCTTCTTTAAGGCTGAGTAATATTCCATCCATTGTGTATGTGTAACACATTTTCTTTATCCATTCATCGGTTGAAGAGCATCTAGGTTGATTCCATTGTTTAGCTACTGTAAATTGAGCTGCTATAAATATTGATGTGGCTGCATCACTGTAGTATGCTGATTTTAAGTCCTTTGGGTATAAACCAAGGGGTGGGATAGCTGGGTCAACTGGTGGTTCCATACAAGTTTTCTGAAGAATCTCCATACTGCTTTCCATAGTGGATGCAGCAATTTGCTGTTCCACCAGCAAAGTATGAGTGTACGTTTTCCCCCACATCATTGCCAACACTTACTATTGCTTATATTCTGGATAATTGCCATTCTGACTGCAGTGAAATGAAATCTTAGAGTAGTTTTGATTTGCACTTCTCTAATTGCTAGAGATGATGAACATTTCTTTGATTGGTTGTATTTCTTCTTCTGTGAAGTGTCTGTTCAGTTCCTTAGCCAATTTATTGATTGGGTTATTTGGTGTTTTTTTTTTTTTTTTTCTTGGTGCTAAGTTTTTTGAGTTCATTATATATCCTGGAGATTAGTGCTCTGTCTAGTGTGTGTGGTAAAGACTTTTTCTCATTCTGCAGGCTCTCTCCTCACATTAGTGATTGATTCCTTTGCTGATAAGAAGTTTTTTGGTTTGAATCCATCCCATTCATTAATTCTTGATTTTACTTCTGGTACTTTAGGAGTCTTGTTCAGGAAATCAGATCCTAAGCCAACAAATTCATGAAATCTTTAAAACTATGAGCCAAAAATAAAATGTGCTCTTTATAAGTTGATTATCTCAGGCATTTTATTACAAAAATAGAAAGCTGGATAACATAAACAGTCATGAATAACTGAAAGGGACAGAACCCTGTGTCTGAGATGAGGTTTGGGGCCTGCTATAAGATAATTTTATAAAGTCAAGTCAGGATTTGAATCCAGGTCTGCCTGAACCCAAAGCTCATGATCTTCCCACTCCATATCCTGGCTCTGATTTCCCAGAGGCATCATTCAGGGATAAAGAAGAATGTGTTTGGGAGAGATTCAAATCACTCAGAACTCTTCCCAGGGCTCAAAGTAGAGATCAAATATTAAGTCTATAGCTCTGTAGGCTTAGATCACCATTGCTATAGGAAAGCCCTCATAGATCATCCTCCCCAAAACACAAGAGGGTAACAGCTCTGAAAATCTCACTCCCTCACATTTTCCAAGAAATCAGTTTAGTGGTTAAATCTTAGAAACTCCAAATAATATGGGGATAAGCCAGAGAAGAGTTGGTGTCACAGTGAA